TGATGTCAAACATAGATAGAATAGTAGTGCAAAATCTAAAGTGCGAAAACTTAATGATAGAAATCTAGTGGTGATATCGGTACACATTGATAAGAATTTATGTATAATGTGAATCATCTAGATTTAAAGATTACAACACCAAAATATCATATACCAAATTTTTCTAATTTATTTTAAAAATCAAATTTGCATACTTTCTATTAAGTATATTACGGATAATTAATTTTTGTTAAAATTTAATAAAAAAAATTATTGTTGTATTGTGACATTAAGATAGTAATACTAGTAAATTTAAAAAATTTCATCATACAAAATGGCATAATTCTAATAGCATTCAATCTACAATTCAAACTATATTCAAACTATCACAAATATGCATGTCTGCAAGTCATGACAGTGTTAAATGACAATTCAAATAGCAATTAGAGTAATACTCATTCAATATTATAAAAATTTTAATTTTATTAGTATAAATAAATGCCACAAACAGGAATTTTGGTAGCTATAAATAATAATAATATAATAACTCCAAACAAAATTTTTAAAGTTTTGTATCTTCAACTATTTTAGTCTTACAGGTTTAATCAAATAAGTATCGAGAACTAATCATATTTAATAAAAGTTTTACTCACATATAAAGTAGCTCTTGCAGCAAAACCATGGGCAAACGAATAGTTAAATTATACATCTTCAGCTAGAAACCTGTTACTATATAAAAAATCAATATATATTCAATAGGTAATATAAAGTTCTTTATGTTAAGTAATTTAAAGAGCTATGATAAATCATAAATTAATTTATACAATTTAACTATTAATTTATTTGTGAAATTGTAAATTTGATATCAATAAATTACTTATTACTATTAAAAATAAATCTGTAAATTTTATATAAATAAGATATTAAAAATAAAATTTTATTATTTATTATTTTGAATTTGTACTTTAACTATGAATTGTGATCTTATTGTAACTCATTTAAAAGTAAATTCAAATATTAATAAAGCTTTATATGATGAACTTAATAGTTAAAGTAGCAGTAATGAACAAGAATCTGATAACTTTGATGAACTTGAAATTACTCAAGAAATTAAAAACTTAGATAATTTGATTAAATTCGAACAATATCAAGAAAATAAAAGTCTTGATACTGAAATATATGATAATTCATCTATATTACATAATAATGAAAGTGCAACTGAGAATAATCTTATAGCTTATTTCAATAGACAACAATCCTCATATGTATGATGATTTTTTACAGTACTTGCTACAAAACAACGTAAATACAACTATTGTCAATATATATTTAGTGATAAAATATCAACAAATACACTTGATCGATATATATATATATATTTTTTTTTTTGGTGTTAAGGTGGCCTCTTGGCCGGCTCCTTTTATTCGGTTATAGTTAACT